AATAAGTGTTCAAAGAGTCCTTTTTAATAAGTTATGTCCTGTAATTCTGGAAATATGGCCAGGTATTACAGAATTAAAAGCAAGAGGGAGTCTCTGCATTACATTGTCCCTTTGTTATATTATATGTTCCTTTGTTTTTTGAAAACAGGTTTGGAAAATACTTGATTTTTAATATAGTCCCAAATGCCAAAAGCTGACCAACGAAACGGAGCTTGATTGTTAATTCATTTATCATCAAATATGTCGAAAAGATGCTGAGCATTATGCCCAAAGTTATTAGTAGTTGATCCACCTTGTCGATACCAAGCCGAAGCCGCCTCTCAATTTCTTAAAGTATGTATGTAACGCCAATCGTATAGCTGCTTCTAAAAGGTGCCAAACCATTGAAATTTTTATCATAAAATTTTAATGCTATAACTATTGTACCGCCTTTCATTGCATAAAAATATTAAAACTTTAACTTACTTGGAAATAACGTACTATGTGGATTGTCAATAAACCAAAAATGGGAATTGGATCCACTAAATAATTAATTGTTGGTAAACTTTTTATATTTATTATAATTTGAAATTATTAATATTATTATTGTTTTCTATTAAAATTTCCAGTGAAGGTTTCTTTTGACAATAATGACTGTCTGCAATTTAAAAATTAAAATGCACATGTGAGTCTCTTAGCATATGGATGAAACATTATTGATCTAGTGCTGATGTCGCCTATGAGCTTCACGCGTTAAAAAATACAAAATTTAGAAAAAACTTTATAACTGAATTCTACCAACAAGAAACCAATCCCAGTTATAAAGATTAAAACAATATATTCTCAGCACCTATCAATAGCATATCGTTAGGCTTTAAGCATGCGACGTGTTAAAGTTTAACAAAACAATATGTATTAATGACTAATATAATATCGATTAAATCTATTCTAAAACGTGTAAGTTTCGCAGCAACCTTTAATTATGATTTTTCTCGATAAATCCTACATCATGTACCAGTTTTTATAAATAATTGGACAAATTACTTTTCAGCTCACCGATCTTACAGAAAGTTTTAGTACCCCAATAGTAGAAGAAGGTGGATATGGAAAGAAGTATGTAGTATTACGTGTTGATGCTGTTCACACAGGAGAGCAGTTACAGTATGATGTCCAAATCTATGTTGATCAGTGAACAAATATTATTATTAAATAACCCATATGGATTATAATATTTTTGGAATTTTTAATTATTTATTACACAAATAAAAATATTTTCTATTGATTTATCCTTTAATTTACCTGTTGTTTATTTTATTTATACAGTGTCAGCAAAAACAATTTACAAAGTGAATAAATAAAACGTAGGATTTATGCGTTTTATTCATGCGTTCATTTATGCGTTGCGAATTATTATTTTAATTTTAAAAATGAACATTTTGACCAACCAAGTTTATGCTCCTAAGGCAGATAAAGATGACGACGATATCGAACTATTTTACCATGATTTGGAACAAGTCTTAAAATCAATGAAGAAACATCACACTACAATAGTAATGGGCAACTTCAATGCCAAAGTTAGCCAGGGAAGAGTGGATGGATATGTGGGGGCATATGGTATAGGAAATAAAAATGAACGTGGTGACCGTTTGATACCATTTTGTACAAGATTGTATACATGGAAATCTCCCGGTGATACAACCAATAGAATAATCCGAAATCCAATTGACTTTGATCTCATTAGACAAAGATTTCGTAATTATATACTATATGCCAAAACTTACTCTGGAGTAGACATCGGTTCAGATCATAACCCCATAATAGTAACATTACGAACCAAATTGAAACTGATTAAACAACCCACACAACGTAGAATTGATATTTAGAGATTAAGGGAACCACAAACAAAGGAACAAACTGTAAAAACTCTTACTAAAAATCTACGTTATGCCCAAGAACTGAATAAAAGTATCTATAATATTAATCAGAAATGGGAAAATATAAAAGTAGCAATAATTAAAACAGCAAATGAAAACTTAAAACCAAAGAAAAGAAAACATAAAGACTGGATGACTGAAGAAATACTACTATTGATGAATGAAAGAAAATCATTCCAAACAAAAAATCCAAATACATATAATGAAACTGATCGATTGATTAAAAAACAGAATAAAAAAGCTAAGGAAAGAACGTTCTCAGGAGCAGTGCCAAGAACTAGAGGAAATTAAGAATTGGAGAATTAACAGGAATGAGAAAAACACTTCAAACTAGGCAACTCAGAGATCAAAATGGTGCATTTATAACAGATATAAAGCAAAAATGCAGAGATGGACATAAGGCACAACTTTTTGAAGACAAAGAGAGAACCGAAGCATCAAAAGATTTTAAGGATGATACTGGGCCTGACATTATACGAGAAGAAATTGAATATGCAATAAAACAAGCTAAAGGTAGTAAATCTCCCGGGCCTGTTGAAGTTCCTATCGAATTACTTAAAATTGTGAATACTGAATCTATTGATCTTCTTTTGGATCTATTCAGTACCATATAAAACAGGTATATAACCTAAAGAATGGCTCCAATCAACATTCATACAGCTTCCCAAAAAAGCCAAAGCCAAAGGAGTGCAATGAACATCTCACCATAACCTTAATGAAATTGGATTTACAATAGATTACACAAAAAATTAGATGAAGACATAAGTAATACACAAATAAGATTTAGGAAAGTACTGGGAACACGAGTCATGCAGTAAAAGTCCTACTAAAAATCGTACATAATCGTATCTATAGAAAGTACGAAACAATCATCGGAGACGATCAGTTTGGATTCAGAGCCGGCATGGGAACGAGAGAAGCCCTGTTCAATTTACTAGTTCTCGCTCAAAAATGCTACGACCAACAGAAAGATATATTTATATACTTTATAGACTTCGAAAAAGCATTTGATAGAGTAAGACACGACCTACTATTAGAACGTTTGTAAGAAGTCGGTTTAGATGAAAAAGACATCAAATTCTTAAAAAACTTGTACTAGAACCAAAATGCCAGAGCTACGATCGAAGGTTCCACATCCGCAGAAGTAAAAATTAGGAGGGGAGTTAGACAAGGATGTGTTCTGCCGCCTCTGCTGTTTAATCTTTACTCCGAGTTTCTATTTAAAGAAGCATTGGAGGATTCCAGGGATGGAGTCAATATGAATGGCGTAAATATCAACAGTATCATATACGCCAATGATACAGTGTTAATTGCGGTTTCCGACTTAGGTCTACAACGACTCATCGACAAGACCAACTCGACTTGTGAGCAATTTGGTATGAAAATAAACATTAAAAAAAACCAAAGTGATGTCAGTCCGAAAAAATCAAAACGTACCTCAACCTTGCACAATAAATGAGCACATTTTAGAACAGGTCAATAGATTTAAGCACCTGGGATGTTGGATCGATAGCAGCCTAAATCCTGATCTAGAAATAAGATAGAGAATAGAACAGGCCAGAAAATCTTTCGAAAAAATAAAAAAACTGCTTTGTGATTCTCGAATAAAACTCGAAATTCGACTACGTTTATCAAAATGCTACGTCTGGTCGACTCTTCTATATGCAGTTGAAACGTAGACCCTAAAGACATCAACCGTAAATAAATTGGAGGCCTTTGGAATGTGGATCTACCGGAGAATACTCAAAATTTCATGGACATCGCATACCTCAAACGAAGAAGTGCTGCATAGAATAGGCAAGGAAAGAGAACTTTTTAACACAGTAAAAGTTAGAAAACCACCATACCTAGGCCACATACTGAGAAATAATAAGTACCAATATGCCCAACTTATAGTGAAAGGAAAAATCATATAAAAAATTAGTAACGGCATGTAGTAATGTTTATTTATTTATTTATTTGCTCATTTATTAATTTATTACAATCTAATAGACTATTTTATAACAATTTGTGGGTCTTACCTTGTCTGTTTAAACTTTTAAAACTTTTTATACCTTTTTATTCAACTTACTCATTTTGAAATTAAAACCACAGACATGTAATATTGGCATAATTATTGTAATTTACAACATCTAATTTGTTTATCTTTATTAGACAACACCCCAATATGGGTTTTTATCATTTCAGCATTTATTTAACTTTGTATCGAGACCTGAAGATGCTTTGCATATTATAGAAAGCGAAACCGGTCGTCTGATAGTTAAATTAAATTGATTGTGAGTAAGTCTTATTTATTATTTCTTTACCTATTTGAAATGGACACACACAAGCAACACATTCATGATACAAATATAAATATATATAAAAAAATAAACAATAAACATAAATATTGAATGGTAAAAACATGCCGCAAAGGCAGGACGCGTACTCATAATTAACGTTTTATGTAGAGATCAATATTCAGTTAAGACGACATGTCAGGGCTCTTGTTTTTTGTAGGAGAGCAGGTGGAGTGGAAAGCCTGGGAAGCATTGAAGCTCAGGAGACTTATCCCTGATTAAGTCAGATTAATCCCCCTCATGCCAATATATTGTCTGCCCAAATGTCCTTAAGGGTCTCTACAGGTTGGAATAACTCTATTTGATTTCATGCTTGTAATGTTCTATTCGGTTTTATTTTTTTTTGTCATAGCTTTCCGCTTTTTGCTATTTTTGCTTCTTAGTGTTTCTTTAGTGCTTAGGGAGCTAGAGAGAGCACAGTATGTTTTCCAAAAGGAAGCGGTGAATTAAAAATTAATTTGTGCTTGTAATAACTTTTGATTATTTTGTAGTTGTGAAATAAAATAACTACATTTTTTTATTGTATCATATCCTGTTTCTTACGAGTCGATAAGTGACATTTTCGAGTGAGTGTTTTCTTATTGCACATTAATCTAGGAATTAAAAAATATTATTAATTATTTTGTGAATAACAAGTGTTATATCTTATCTTACCTAATTTTAAAAATACGTCTTTAATTTTTCAGAATTAGGCACTTGAAGTAGTAAATAAATAAAACGTAGTTATAAATAGGTATATTATTATTGTGGTACTATATCAATAATCAGACTTGACCAAGTAATTTTAAATATAACATCGTAAAATGGTCTGCAAAGCTTCTTTTGTCTACTCCTTGATAGTTTTGGTTGCTGTAGCCAACGCGTATGATTATACCAATTGTCCTTCAAATACCGGTCGCCAGTAAGTAGCGGTTTTATAGTTTTTATTTTATTACGTTAGCTAAATATAATACCTGACTTGTTTATTTATTTCATGTGTTTTAAATATTTGTTTTCTTCCTGCAGTAGTTCGGATATCATCTATCAATTCTTTTTGGGCTACCTCTATCATTATTCGAGTGTCTTGAATTTTTTATTAAGCTTGTTTTCTCTTAATGTGTGTCTTAAGCAGTATTTTTAGTCCTACACAGGTTGGCTACTTACCTATGGCATCTGCTTCTTGTTCTAGTATGCTTGCGATCTTGAGCTGTTGCTCTCTACCTTGAGCTGTTCTTATTATCGAATGTATGTTAATGCCTGTCCAGTCTCTTACATTGTTCAACCAGAAGCATTTTTTCTTTCTGGATCTCCTCGTCCTTCCACTTTCCCTTCCGTTATAAGTCGTAGGAAGTTGTATTTTTCTCCTCTGTAAATATGTCCTAGATAACTCGTTTTTCTGTTTTTTGCAATATTTAGGAGTTTTCTTTCAGTACCCATTCTTCTTAGTACGTCGTTGTTGGTCACGTGCTCTGTCCAAGAAATCATCAGCATCCTTCGAAAAACCCATATCTCAAAGTCCATGTTTGTACTCCGTATACCAATATGGAATAAATAAACGTTTTTACAAATTGGTATCCAATATTCAATGATAACGTAGAATTTATTAGAAATGTTTTCATTCGTTAAAATGCGGACCTAGTATAATATTCTATACGAGCACATATTTCGACCTCGTGATCAAGATCTTTTGTTATCCCGCAACCAAGATACTGGAATCTTTGTTCTGGTTCTATATGTTTGTTATAGATACGAATAATAATGTCGACATATGGTGCAAGTGTAACAGCCGTTACTTTTGTTTTATTTGTGTTTATATTTAGTCCCAAGCTCTCTCTCTAGTTATAAAATTCAAAAGTCGTTGTAAACCCTCAGCACTTTCCTCAATAATAACGGTGTCGTCTGCGTATCATAAATTGATAACGTATTCTCCGTTGATTTTTATTGCTTCTTCAATATTTTCGAGGGCATTTTGAAAGATCTTTTCGGAATATATATTAAATAACAGTGAAGAAAGTACACAGGCCTGACGAACTCTTTTTTTTTATTGGCAATTCTGCTGTCAGACGAATGTCTATTTTAATCGACGCCATTTGATCCCAATATAGATTTTTAATTAGTGCTACAGTGTCGTGGTCTATACCATGTTGTGTTAGGGTTTCTATGATTCCTGTGTGTTTTACTTGATCAAACGCTTTTTCGTTTCTGTCGATAAAATAGAGAAACGTCTTTTCGCTGATCTCGGCATTTTGAAGTAATATCTTAAGGCCAAATAATGCCTCCCTTGTACCAAGCCCCATACGAAATTCAAATTGATTGTCGCTCAGGTTTCTTTCGCATTCTTTGTATATTTGTTGATGTACAATTTTGAATCTGAACTGTGAGCATCTATTTGCTTTATTTTTATTGGGTATAGGTTTAAATGTCGATCTATGCCAGTCTTCTGGGAAGATTCCAGTGGTATATATTTTGTTAAATATTCTTGTTAACGTCTAAAGATTTTCTTCATTAATAAGCTTTATCATCTCTACGTATATTTCATCTTTTCGTGGCTTTGCCGTATTGATTGTTTTTGTAACTTCCGATGTTAATATATCAAGTACTATTTATTGTACTATATTCATTTGTGGTTCTGCTCTCTCGTCATCAAACATCAAACAGATCTTTGATGTATTTTTTCCACATGTCTCCTACATTTTCTGGACTAGATACGATTTCGTTGTTATCACCTACTAAAGTTGTTTTAGTGATTTTTTTCTTCAAATTTGTGACTTCCTTAATCGTTTTGTATGCATTAATGTAGTCATGATTTTTTAGTAAATCTCCCAGTTCCTCACACTTGCTGCTCATCCATTCTTCTTTGGTATTCCTGATTTTGTTTCTGATGATTCTCTGGGATTCTTTCTATTTTTCTTAATTGCGATTTTTGCAATATCTCCTTATATCCATCAGTTTTAGGACTTCTTCTGTCATTCATATATTCTTTGTTTTTCTCATGTTGCCTTGTAGTTGTTCTCTTTGTATAGTTGTGATTGTTATTTTGAAGGTATGCCAAATACTTTCTATTGTTTCCTTTGCTTCTGCGGGTCCTTCACTAAACTTTTCTTTGAGTGTATTATTGAGTGTTTTCTCTATTTCTGCATGTACTATTAGATCTTTAAGTTTTTCGAGGCTAGGTTTTATCTTCTCTGTGTATTTGATTTTCTTCAGTTTAATGAAATTTTTGTCAAATAATATATTATAATCAATCTGGTTTCTTATTATGCGGTTTTGATTATTGCCAGGTGCTTTTCATGTATATAATCTTTTTTTTTTGGTTGTCTAAGCCAGGTGTTTGCGATCATTAGATTTTCTTCTTGGCAAAATGTTACCAGTATTTCTCCTCTATCATTTCTTTAATAATGTTTACAGCATTTTTGTTTGTGATCTTCATTATCTGTTTGATCTCTTGGTAAAATTCTCGTACTTCTCTTTCTGCTTTTTCTGCTGTAGGAGCATATACTTGAATAAAGTTAATATTACGAGAAGTGGTATCAATTTGCAGCATAGCTACTCTATCAGATATAGGTATAAAGTTCTTTATATATTTACTGCTTTTCTAATTAAGTATATATGCCACTCCGTTATAATGATGAGGAATGCCATTAACAACATAGTATATTACATATACTTTGGTCTAGAAGAGAAGATAACAGGACGAGATAAATCAAAATGTAAAACTACACTTTTGAAAGAGTCCAACAATTTAAATACTTTGGATTAATAGTGAATGACCGAAACAAGAGAAGGGAAGAAGTAACGGAACGAACACCAGCAGGCAACAAAGCATACTGGAGATACCACAGGCTTATAAAGGACAAGAACTTATCCAGAAATACAAAACTGTAAATATGCAGAGTTACAATCAGACCAGTAGTTACGTACACAGCTAAGACAATGTGCCCCACAAAAAAAGATGAAGAAAAATTAAGAATTTTCGGAAGGAAACTTCTCAGACGGATTATTGGCCCGATAAAAATGGACAACGGAGAAATGAGAAGCAGAATGAATTATAAACTAAGAGACATAATGAAGGGAGAAAATATAGTTAGATTTATTAAAGCACAGAGGCTGACATGGCTGGGACACATAGAGAAAAGGGAAAATGACCTACTAATTAAGAAGATTCCCAGATGAAAACCAGCAACTGAAAGACCAAGGGGAAGACCAGAGAGAGGTGGGAGGACCAGGTTATAAGAGATATCAAAATTTTGGAAGTGAGAAACTGGAGGGAACTATGAACATATCAAAATAAGTAGAAAAAAATCGTAATTAAAGCCAAGTCATAGAATAAACTTTGACAACATACAAGTGGAATGCGGAGTGCATCACCGCAATAAGCGAATCAGAGAGCTCTAAGTAAGAGGGGCAAACATTTCACCCGGAATAAAAAGCCCTGATGATGATGTACAAAATAACAAGACTGAAGAGCAAATAGCAATAATAAATAGTCTACAAATGAAACATGTTTAATTTTTTATTTATACTTTTTTTATTATTATTAATTACAACTTTTATCTCAGATTTTTTATCTATAGATAAATTATACAAATTAAACTTCTAAATAACTATATTTTTGATTATTGTTTTAGAAAAAATCTTGTTTATGATTACCTTTTGACAGGAGTGTCTATAAATATTCGTATTCCAGGGTCAGGATATTTTAATAGACCCATAACTTGCCTTCAGGTAACTTCTTCTAAATGTATATTATTACTAATTTTTTGTGTAGAAAACTTATTTTACAACTTGATAGACTAGAAATCAATTAAAAAAATATATATTTGTGTTAAATTAATGTTATTATATTTTTTTCGTTTTCAGCTAATTGATCAAAAGGCTACGACTGTTTCTCCAAAAATAGTGGAAGGTGGATATCTTGATACATACCTTATAGTAAATATAACATCATTAAATGGTCAAGAACTTAAATACTATGCACAAATATATATTGATTAATTTAAATTTTTTATTAAATTGAACAATAAATTTAAATAAGTATATTGTTGTATAAAATACGATCCTATTTTAAATAAAAAACATAAAACTTTGTTTTATTATGTTTCCTTATTTATCAAACAGAAAATTTCTAATTATATTCCTTTATTATATTCCTTTTGGAACTGCCCATATCAGTATTTCATAGCGAATAATGATACAACTTGACTTGTCCCCTTATTCACGGTTAGCTTTTAATATACATATACACTATATATATGGTTGCTAGTTTATATATACATATATAAACTAGCAACCAACTAAACACACATAACCTATAAATTAGTATGCAATACGTGTCATAGTTATGATTATTATTGCAAAATAATTTTTTTTTAATTTACTAATACCAATATAATAAGTGAAAATTAAAAAATGTTTAGAGGAAAACAAATTTTAAATAAGCTTAATGACGATGGTAAGTAAAATCATAATTTATTTACCACTGGTAGTTGTACAACATTTTTACTGTAATCTAGAATTATCCAGTTGTTTCTGTATGTATTGTACACAGAATGAATAAAACAAATGGGATATTGTTTTACAGATGAATATATGAATAAGGAACAAAGAAAGGAGCAAAATTCAGAAGTATTGATGTTTTTCTCTAATTTTCTTTCATTGACTAAAGTAATTGCGTTAAATCTGAATTACGTAGTTTTTTTTTTGTTAAAATAATGTATCTTTAATACTTTTTATCACAAACATGGGTATATTAAAGAGCAAGCAAAAAAGTTAAGTGCAAATGTATGCCACATATGTGGCATATGAGGCGCCCCCTATTAGCTAAATAAAAGTATGCATTAAATTATATTTTCTGATGTTCAATAGTACCCAGTTATGAATTTTTATACATAAATGCTTACAAACATAAAAGTTATAGCGAAAATTAAAATTTTAAATTTCCACTTTAACACCCTGTATTTTTCTTAATATCAACATTGTATTAAAGCAATTTGGCTTAAATCTTAATATTTTCAAGTGTAGAATCTACGTTTTCTCTTTGTACACTTACTTAAGGACTATATACCCTGTATATATTGGTTTAAGGTGTTTGGGTTTAAATTTGTTCAAAATATTTCTAGTGTGCACATCACATCTGAAAAAATCTGTTTTAAAATTTTTTGTTACGAAAATAATGTTATTATAATTTTATAATGTTTTTATGATTATAAAGATTTATTTGGGGTCCCGCGGGATCATTAAAAATATTTTTTAAATGTCGGACTAATTTGTTAAAATATAAAACAGGCAGTTAACCTATTTTTTATTTAAATAACAAAAAACCATGAATACAAGTAACAGTCCAGTAAAATTGTAATTAATTTGATAATTTTTCGACTGTTCTAACAACCATTCAAATTTCGTCATTTTGTGTCATGTGGAACAATTTCACCCAATCATGTCAACATTAGACTGATAATTGCATTCAGTGCAATTTTCAATCAATATGACAACACGATCGAGTTTGACACCTTCATCCAAATAAATTTCAAAATGTCACGTTTCTATAAAACCATACTTGAATCTTGATCAAGAACACCACAACAAGATTATAAATATTATGCGTGGTAATAGATCTTCTATAGTAGAGAACAGCAAGGAATCTAATGTTAACTTAAATTTTAATAATTGTACTTTCACTAACTGTACTTTTAATAAATAAATGTTTCGTTATGTTGAGTTATGATTTTTTTTTTTTCGAAAAATTATCCGCCGAATATCCCTCGGACATTGATGAATGCCTCATAATTTCATGACAAATTTCTCAAGCTCGTTGCTTGGTAATAGCACGAAGCCGAAGGCTGAGCCTTCGGATTCGTGCTGTTACCAAGGAACGAGCTTTCGATTGTCATGAAATTATCTCGTCTGTTATCATTGTCCTAGGGATAATACTACTGATCATAAAATAGTCTAACTAATAAATATTAGTGCATCGAAACTGGCTTTTTCCACTGTATTGGAAGAAATATTTACCACAGCATATGTGTCGAGATATCCATCTTCCAATATTTTGGGTACGGCGGTACTTCCTCTTTGATCTATTACTTACAAAATAAAAAATGTATTTAACTTTAAACGAAAAAAAGAGCACGTACCTTAGACCATATTCCGTTGTATTTGCTTTAATTGATATGAACTTTAAGTCAGAGTGTTTTTCTGTGTCCTGCTTTCAACAGAATATTTTTACTTGCGTAGTAAAGAAGCAAGCTGCATTTCTGTGGATACCCTGCTAAAAGCGCCCAAAATATTAATTTTCTGGGATTCATTATGTAAAAGCCTCATTCAACTTAAAGCTCAATGGTTTTTAAGGTTCCATGGTTTTTCGCGAGGCAATGTGCCAACAATCATCCCGAAAACTTTCCGTCAAAGTCACGCACCACTACTACCTCAAAAGATCTAATGCGATATTTTGTTAGGAACGGTTCTGACAACAGTTGTAAGGAAGTGATTCTCTTTTATAGACTCACTCTCTGCCTTATTAAGATAAGTTACTTAGATACAAATCAAATTTTTTGTACCCAACCTAACGTAATCCAAACCTAACCTGTTTTTCCAAATTTATTAATTCTGCGGCACTTTTAACTGGCATCTGACCTGCTCAAGACCACTTTACATAGAATAAAGTTCTGATTGTTACTCTCAATCCTTCAAAAAATGTACCTGTACATATGGAATACATGTTTTTGCATTTACTGCACCGAAAACCATGGTTTAATGTGTATCAATTTTTTTGTCGCCCTACACATAGACGTCGACATTGTCCAACTTTACATTTAAATTGTTCTCTAATTAATAATCCAATATTTTGCAAATATTAAATTAAATCCGTATCGCTTTTTGTGTAATACTATTTATATCAATAACAAAATGCACTTTCATTTTTCAGGAATACAAGCAAAACATAAATCAAACTTGTTTTGAAAATAAATTTATAAATTTCATCCAGAGATATTTTGATTTGTTTAATTACATATCATTTTAAGTGTTTAAAACTGAAACAAACCTACGACAAAAATCAACCTCGTACAGTCGCTGTCAAGCTTCAATGCAAAAAATCATATTAAATAAAACAGGTTATATGAGAAAAATTTATAATTTTAGTTAATATCAACCACTATTTTATTATTATCCAGAGTTCTAATAAAAATTATTAAATATTACACACTAATATGATATAATTAAAAGGTTAGTAGTAATATATAAGTTTGTTTTATAAAAATATGTCTCAAATTAGCGTGGCTAATAAACGCATCAACACGTTTTGTTTATTATAAGGGTAAGAATGTAGGACAAGAGTAGAACTTATTATTAAAAACTTCAAAGACAATTTATTTTATTTTTAAAAGATATGCATGGAAAACACAGCAATCGCCCCAATACGATGCGGGAGGATATAATAAATACATCAGATCGATCCGCATAACAGTCATTTCCCAAAAGATCGGCGCACTGTAGCCTCGCTAAAAACAAAAATAGTTTTATTTATCAGCTGAGCTAAATATGCAAAATATTCATAGGCTTTATCTTAAAAAGTTCGACCCTAATATATATGTTGCTATCCAAAACGTTAAGAAAGTAAAGCCTCAAGTAACATCTATTTTCGTAGACACTTTATTTCAAATTGTAGAACTACTCATTGAACTTGCGATAAACTGGACAACTTTATATAAGCAATAACAGATAGATAAGTAAAAAGCATCTAATAACTCAAAAAACGCTACATGAGAAGAAGACAAATTATTTTTACACAAAATTAAAGGAGGATGAACAAGGATGAGTTGGAGCTGTTAGCATTTGGTTATCAACAGGATAATTAATCACTAACAGGAGAATTTTACTGTCATCATGGCATATGTTTTTTTAAGACGAATTATATGCTATGATTTTTTCTGACGGATATTTTCAAGTTAGAGTTGATTTCATGTAATCGAATGAGCTAACGTATAAGTAAAGTCGTCCCAGGAGCGCAACTCAAAAATATTGGCAATATCATTTTAAAGTCTACTTTAAAATGTCGAATGTATGTCTGAATTGTCAATATAAATGAGTCGGATAAAATTAAATTAAAAGAAGAATTTTTCACTAAGTAACAAAAAACAAAATTTGTTTAATTTACTAATGAATGATTTCCGCAGTGGAAATTGAAACCTTAATAAACGTACCCTAATCTTAAATAATACCGAATATGACTATCGCCCACGTACCCATTAAAGATGCTTTTCAAATGGCAAATATGCGAATACAACTTTTGCGTCTTTGCAGCTAGTTCTGTAGAATTGAACTTTTTCGTGTACGGTAACACCAAAGCCAAGAAAGGAGATAATTAGGAGTTTTTACATTATTTTCTTGAAAATTTTGTATCAATAACAGTGACAAAATTAAACCTATAGTTTGATTACTGCAGCTCTCAAAATAAAAACCAAACCATGGATCAGTATATTTACACTTTTGCAAATACTAATAAATTTGTTTAAAGTATACGGAGGTATGCAGAATCAGGATATAGTTTCTTTCTTTATGACCTCAGCATCAAATTGAATAAAAAGGAGAAAAAGAAACGAAACAGGATCGTCTTACTAGAAGAATGGGTTGTTCTGGTAAAAAATTCTTACTAAAAAATACAAGGGATCACTAGTGACAGGGATATAAGAACAGAGACCACAAGGCAAGAGTAAATGGTTGCCTCCGAGAAACCATATGGAGAAACAAATATCTGACCATGGAAAGCAAAATAAAAGTATACAAGACAACAGCAAGACTAATCCTTACATATGCAGTGGAGACAAAAAAGACGAAACAACAAATCAGCACTATAGAAATGAAAGTATTGAGATCAATAGCGGGCAAATCATTAAGAGACAGACAAACTAACACTAACAGAAGTATACATGAACAATGCAAAATTTAAAATATCAACAGGTGGATAAAAACAAAAGAAAAAAAAACTGGAACGAGCATGTAAATCGAATGGGACAAGATAGATTAGCGAACATCTGTAAAAACCACAAACCGTATAGAAGAAGACCAGTTGGAAGGCCGTCAAAAAGGTGGAAACA